TGCATTATTTCCTCAGGACTAGCTTTTGGAATAAGGCACGCACCAAGGAGCCCAGTGCCGGAAACTCTCCAGTGAGGATATGAGCTCCCCAAAGTTTCTGCTTTGGTGGGTGACACCATAGCTACTGCCCTCACCGGTGTGGCAGAGCGGCACCCTCAATCGGTCCCTGTGTCCAGTATGTCGGAGGTGAGGTTAAACACCAGAGGGCACCCTCTAGACTTGAGGGTGCAGGGAAAATGAGCTCAGGGTCATGGGAACAGTCCAGGAGGATCTTGGTTAAAACTTTCCGGCTAAAGATCTCAGAGACAGAAAAGCCCCAGAGCTCAAAAGACAGATACTACCTGGAAGCCAGGGCTGGGTGTAGACCTCCTGGGACGAGGCCAGGGTTTACTTGGGTAAGTGGAGTCTGAGGAGGAGGGTGCTGAGGATGATTACCTGTGTACATGGTTTGTCCAAATGTCCAGGCTCCTTCCACAGGGATGTAGCCTTGACCACTGGGGCAGAGCTCACCGAATTCAACTGTGGAGGAAGGCACCCCAGCTCAGAGAGGGAATGTTAGTCTCCCCACCTCCGCTGTTTAAGGGTCTAGTTCTCTAATAGAGGCTGGCCCGGAACTTTGCTATGTAGCTCAGACTTGCCTCCAACTCAGGATCTTTCTGTTTCGGCCTCCTGAGCGCCAGAGTTACAGTCATGTGACATCATCACCCCTGGCTCCTTTCTCCATAAGTGCCACACTGCAGACTGACCCTAAGAGTGTTTGTGGCCCTTGAGGCCTTACCTGAGTCCTCGGATGGGCAAGGGTCACAGGCTTTTCCCCATCTGGCACCCTGAGTACAGCAGCATTCAGCCTGGGTGGAGTTCCGGCCCAGGATGCTTGAGCAGGGAGGACCACCATTGTGCTCAGAGTAGCATTCCATGCGGGTGAGGCCTGGAGCCGGGTCCCCTGTTGGGACCTCTGGGATTCTCTGAGCTGTGGGTGACAGAAGCCCCTTATCACTGTCTGTTCAAGACCCTCTGAGGCATCACTGCCATCAAGGTTATCTGTTAAATAGAATGTCTGTATAGAACCTTACGCTGTACATTATCTCATGTGGTACCCTGAGCATCACTAGGCGAGACTACTGTTATCATTCCCCTACTACAAAGAAACTGTACCTAAGAAGTTACAATTAAGAAGTTATTATGGGGTGAAACGGGGCTCTGATGCCCAAGCCCCTGATGTTTCTAGTGTACTATTTGCTCATAATCCCCATGGGTAGTACCCATCCTTGGCATACCACAAGAGCATCCTTCTGATCCCTTCTGCTTCTCAGGGACCCCAAACCTTTCTCCCCTCCATTTTTCTCTTACAAAGTTCCCCTTGACTTTTTACAGGTCATTGAAGCCAGCTGAGTTCTGGTCCAGCCTGGGGTAAAAATGGCAGTGGGGAGGGGAGGGCCTAGATTAGCTCAGCTTCAAGGCCTCCTTCATCTAAAAGACCCATCCGAGGATTGGTTGGATTCAGGGTCTTTAATAAACTCAATCTGAGGTCCCTGGGGGCTAGTGCCCCATAGCACCCTGAATTTCTCTAGGTCATCCTCGACCTTCAGGGGAAATGTTGTCTGGCAGATGCTGGCATGTGTGGCACTCAGACTCCTGTCCCCTCCATAACCCATTCCTAACCCATACCCCCAACACCGGCCCAATGAACCCCACTCAGTGGCAGGAGCTAGATCAGCGGATGGTGTTTGTAAGGCAGAGTCCTGCTGGGGGATGGTCTGTATGTCAAATTGCTCTGATTGGTCAATAAATAAAACACTGATTGGCCAGTGACCAGACAGGAAGTATAGGTGGGACAAGGAGAGAGGAGAATTGGGGAAACAGGAAGAAGGGGGGGAGAGACTGCAGCCACTGCCAGGACAAGCAGCATGTAAAGACGCCAGTAAGCCACCAGCCACGTGGCAAGGTATAGATTTATAGAAATGGGTTAATTTAAGATATAAGAACAGTTAGCAAGAAGCCTGCCATGGCCATACAGTTTATAAGTAATATAAGCGTCTGAGTGATTATTTTATATGTGGATTGTGGGATTGCGGGGCTTGGTGGAACCTGGAGAGAAGCTCTCCAGCAACAGAGTCCTCATGGAAAGTGGCAGGAAAGGAAGGGGCCCAGGTCTCCCGGAGCTCACCTCCAGCCGCCCGAGGACGGCAGTGTCCCTCTTGTGCGTCATACTCCTCGAGGTCACTGGCACACAGACACAGGAAGGAGCCTTCCACGTTCTCACAGAGTGCAGCCCCACACACTGCCAGCATGAGCTCACACTCGTTCACGTCTGCCAGGCACAAGGACAGACTAGTGTCCAGAGAAGAAGCAGCGAATGCACCCTGCCCCCGATTCCAGCCCGGCTAGGCAGGTTCTCACGCGCCCCCCGCCCCCAAGAGAACCGTACTTGGAAGAAGCAAAAGTCGATATGAATTAGCAGAGAGGGGGACCGGTAGACAGAGGGCACAGGAGGGAAAAGAGGAAAAGAGAGGCTGAAAAAGGTTATAACAGTGAACGCAGAGGACAGTTCCCTCCTCTGGGCATCTCCTGAGCCCCCAAGTTCTCCAGGGAAGTGAATGGGGTGGGAGGCCTCTTCCCTTTTGTGCTCGCCCCTTCTGGGGGCAGGATTGACCCTTCTCCTACCAGTCCAGCAGCAATGCTAGCTGGAGGGGAATCCTCTTTCCCTTGCCCACCCGTTGGGGTCCTGTCATGGAGCCATGCAAACATGGATGTTTCGGGAGAGGGTACCACCTCCTTTCAAGAAAGACAAAAATCGGTAGAAATGAGAAGGGCCCAAGGGCCTTTCCCAGCCCAGACCTTGGGTAGCCCGCAGGCTTCTCACCAACACATTCCCAGCCTGAGGGTGAGGTCTCGAAGCCCTGGTCACACAGGCAGCGGAAGGAGCCATCCGTATTGTCACAGAAGCCGTGGCTCCCACACACAGTGTCGTTGGCGCATTCATCTATGTCTGGGGATAACGAAGACTAGGGTAGAGGGCATGCATGCTCTCGCTGTTTGCTGGGAGTCCCTATTTGGTCTATTAACACCAAGATCTGCAAACAAACAACCCCTGGACCCAGCACAGGAAAGCTATAACCATAACCTTCCTCTTAATTTCTTTGTAAGCTTCACTGTATGGGAAACACACAAATTTCAAACAACTGCTCAAACAGTATCCTCGGGAGAAATGGTTTCTAGTTCAATGCAGGGAAAACCAGATGTTCACAGCTTTCCTCAGCCCTCCTTCCTCTTCCTCCCTGTTCCTACTCACCAATGCAGTCTCCAGTCGGGGCCATGTAGAAGCCAGGCTGGCAGCCCAGGACACAGCGGTAGGAACCGGGGCTGTTCTCACACCTCCAGGCTCCACACACTGGGTCTTCCTCATCCTCACACTCATCAATATCTGTCCCCAGGGCCATGAGAAGGGGCAGATGTGTGGCTAGGTCACTGTGCTGGCCCCACCTTGCTGACATTACAAGCTCACATCCCACAACTTTTGAGGTCCTTGGTCCGTTTCAAATCGTTACGCTCATCTCACTCCCAGCAGACTAATTCAGGATCGTTTCCCCTACCCAGCGCGGCCCAGCATTTAGGAAGAGCACTACACCCCATTCGGGAAGCTCTGAGCACTCAGCCTCCTCCCTCTGATCCCCAGCAGAGCACTCTGCCTTTTTCACCACAGTGGGGTTCAAGGAGCTTTCTTCAGTATTTATCTCCCTTATTCAGTTTCAAGATCGTCTATAACCATCAGTCCTACCAAAAGGCATTGAACATAGCCATTGTTGAATATCTGCTGAACGTATTCGGCTCTTAAAACTACGTTGTGTCCTCTGCTGGCACAAAGATTATGATTGTCTTTATTATATCAGCCTTGGGTCATCAGAATCTCAATAAATGCATTAAACTTGGGGTTCTGTAGAAAATGCTGTATTTCCTAAGATGCTGTGTTCCATGGGAACTAAGGGAGCTAAGGACCACGCAGGGACAGAGGTGGACAGAGGTGAGGCAGGGTCCCGTCCAGTCCCTCGAGTCCTTACCCACACACTCTCCACTGTCTGGGGAGGGCTGGAAGCCGGGCTCACACAGACAGCTGAAGGAGCCCTCTGTGTTGACACAATGCCCTCGTAGACATGGGTCTGTGGCTGCACACTCATCAACATCTAGGACAGAGACAGCAGTCAGCCAATACAGCCATGGCTCTCTTTAGAGCTTGTTAGAGCCCAGAGCTGCTTCCTTTGGACCTCGAGAAGCCAATAGGAGAGTCAGGGTAGGAAGATCGAGGGACTGTCCAGGCCATGCTGTGGGGAGGCTTTAGGGCTGGGACTCTGTTAGCAGAAGGGTGACACTAAGACTCTGGAGAGCATGCATGTCTGCCACAGGCATCACAGGGATGCCTCCCACCCCCTGCAGACTCCGGATCCTTCCTTACAACCCTGGATCTTCCACACCTCCCCAGCCTTCCCATTGTCTCCTCCCTGGGTAGGCTATGAGCAAACTATTCACTTCAGTAAGGGTATTCAGGTGGGATTGTAGACACAAGCCTCTAGTACCCGTGCTGGCGGACCTTAGACACGACCACACTGACGTCTTACCCTGGCATCTGGTGCCCCCCTCAGCACTGACAAAGCCAGGTGCACAGAGGCAGAAGAAGGACCCTTGGCTGTTGAGGCACTCGCCGTGAGGAGCACAGTGCTCCTCCTCCCCCGCACACTCGTCCACGTCTGCGGAGACAGGAGGAGAAGGGAGCGAGTCTCTCGGGATGCCCTCACCTCGGCAGATACTCACTGTGCCCAGCTCCTTCCTGATGGGGAGACTTGGGGTACTCACCCTCACACGTGGTGCCATTGGCCAGCTGGAAGCCCTGGGGGCAGAGGCATTGGTAGGAACCTTCTGTGTTCTTACATTCGCCTCCAAGGCAGCTGTCCCGGGGACCTTCACACTCATCCACATCTGTAGGGCCACACGGGAGGAGGCAGCTGATGGCGGCACCTTCCAAGGTCAGGTTCAAGGGAAATATCTCTAGAGGGCCCTATCACCTGCCTGAGGGGAGGGGGACCCGTGGGGATGAGGGGACAGGGCTTGCAATGTTTATCTCTCTTCCGGGAGAAGCTAATGAGAGAGCCACGGGAGAGGTAACAACAGATGTTTTCCATCTGGCCCGGCTCCGGTTGGGCTTCCTCACACCCGATAGTCCTGGCCTAGGGTAACCAAAGCCTCCATCACCTGTCTTGACGGAGAAGCAATGGGAGATAAACCAAGGAAACAGATACCGGCAACCTGAGAAGGCAACTGAAACTCTCTTTTGCTTGATTGTGAGTTTGTTCTGAGATAGGATCTCCTGTAGTTAACACTGGCCTGGCCTCTGACTTGCTAGATAGCCAAAGATGACCCTGAACTCCTGATTCTCCTGTTTCTACCTCCTATGTGTGCTAGGATTATAAGCCTAGGTCATCACAGCTGGCCTGCCCCTCCCCATTGCTCCTCCCCCACTCCACCCCTTTCTCTCCTCCTGCAGCCTGGCTGGCCTTGGACTTTTCATCTTCCTGACAAGGCTTCCCAAGTGTTAGGGTTATAGGCATCATCAACACTATTGCAAAGCACAGTGGACACTCTAGAGCCGCGGTTCTCAACCTTCCTAATGCCGCAACCCTTTAACGCAGTTCCTCATATTGTGACGACCTCAACCATAAAATTATCTTCCTTGCTACTTCATAGCTGCAATTTCACTACTGTTATGAATCGCAATGTAAGTATCTGTTTTCTGATGGTCTTAGGTGATCCCTGTGAGAAGGTCATTTGACCCCCAAGTTGAGAATCACTGCTCCAGAATCTTGTAACAGAGAGTCTCAAGGGTCTAGGCCAAGGCCCAAGAAACCCATGTGTCTCTTGTCCCTTGGTGCTGCTGGGACCCTGCGGCCTGTGCACCACCAATGCCTTCAGGGCAGTGAGACCCGGGTTTCTAGCCACTTTCCTGACTGCTTTTGGGGAGAAGGTAGGAACAGGTGTCCCCCGGCCCACTATCCTAGGTTTAAGTGGGAGCTCTTGTTCCTTCTTGTAAATGCTCGGCTTGTCTACGGTGTCCCATCTGTGTTCTCCGCACAGGGAGGGGTCTCTTACCTTCACAGGTATTGCCCAGGGGACTGGGCCGGTAGCCTTTATCACAGTCCTTGCAGAAGAAGGAGCCCACAGTGTTGGTGCAGACTCCTGTAGGGCAGACTCCAGGGAAGGCACACTCATCCAGGTCTAGGCAGATAGAGAACTGTGGCCATGGACCCAGGAGGGCAGTCCCACCACTGAAGCCTTCCCTCACAACACCTCTTGCCAGTCTCTGAGTTTGAAGAATACCGTGGAACTCTGGACAAGGGCAAACCCTGGCCATATTCTATGACACGCATCCCCCCACCCCACGCACTTCCTTCCTAGAAGGCTCCATGGGTAGCCCCAGCCCCAGCTTACCTCTTTTGAGACAGGGTGTCATATAGCTCAGGCTGGTCTCAAACTCACTATGTAGCTAAGGCTGGCCTCGAACTCCTGATCCTCCTGTTTCTACCCCCCCAAGTGCTGGGGTTATAGGTGTGCACCATTATATGTAGCTTTAGCTTCTCTCTTGTCTCTGACCATTTGTCTCATCTCTGAATTTGGGAGTTGTGACCATAGCAGCTCTCTTGGGTGCCAAGCCCCCCTCCAAGTTCCCTCTGACCTAATCTGGAGACCCTAGGATCAACCCAAGGCTAGAAGACAAAGAGATGCTCTTTAAGAGGGAGGAAGGCTTCTACTGTCCCTTCGGACCCTGTCTGCCTTGTATTACCTTCACAGGCAGTGCCATCTCCGTTCACCCAGTACCCACTCTGACAGGCTGAACAGGTGAAGGAGCCCTCGGTGTTGAGGCAGAGGCCGGAGGGGCACGAGGCTCGGCTGGCACACTCATCCACATCTGAAACAGGCCATTGAGTTCTGTATGGGATTCTGCAGGGCGGACATGCCAGAGACTCATAGGTGGTCAGGGAGGGTCGAAAGCACAGGTGTTGGCATGAGCAGGATAGGGTCTCGGGCCTGGCGGGCTAATTCAGAGGAGGCTGCAGGGGTTGGCATGCAGAGGGAAAGGTGATGCGGGCTTGATTGGCCCGTGTAAGAATGGAGCTACACCTTTGTACCTCGGCAGCCCTTTTTGTCTGGGGTGACCTCGTAGCCCGGCTCACAAGAGCATCTGAAGGAGCCTTCCACGTTGATGCAACTTCCATGGGCACAGATCCCAGGGGTCAGACACTCATTCACATCTGGGGATAAAGTCCAAGATGGGGGCACTGGCCTCCTCTCTTCCTTGGGCTATTCTCCCTGCTCTAGCAAGCCCAGACCATCTCAATTGTGAGTCCCCGGCAGCACCCTCCAGAGGGACTGCGGGCCAGCCTTGGAGAGCTGCGAAGCCATGCTCCTTCATTCCATCTAGGTGGAGCAGGGTCATACCCTCCTGAGTGCTCCTCAGCCCCCTGTTGTAATACAGAACCCCCTGCCTAGCCCTGGAAAAACAAAGCCACCTAGAGCACCAGAAATAAGGCATCCTTGATTCACTCCATTGTGAGTCTGACCCACTAGTCTCTTACCTGCCACCAACAAACCATGTTCTGCACCCAACAAACAGTTACAGTACATGGGTGGGCAGCGTGGAGAAAGGCCAAGCCATGCTTGGGTGGCTGTGGCTGTCTTGAGGGCCTGGGAACCATCTGCCCTCTTAAGAGTCTCAAAGCATCTATTCAAAACATGGCCCCTCCTGGCATCAGAACCTTGGGCCTTGTTCCCTGCGGGGGCTGAGGGAAAGAACACTCCTCTTCCCACTGACACGGAGTTGTTTTGGGAACAAGAAGCACCACTGCTATTTAGTGTGTAGCTTCCTGATGTCGTAGGAAAGCAGAGGGCCTGGTGGCTGGCTCTCACTACCATCCAGCCCAAGACCCTGGAGCTTTCCATCCCGGGCCACAGAAGCCAACCACAGAAGCTTCTGGAACTTTGGGATAGAGCCTCAGAACGGATGTGGCTAAGCAGCTGCACAGGGCCCCACCCTAGCTGATTCAGAGGGCAGAGTCCCATAACAGAAGCACACCCACGCCATGCTTAGCATCATCTGAGAACCCAACCGGACGATGGGGACGATGCCCTCTAAGCCCCTTCTGTCTGCCCACCTCTTCCCCTCCCTGTGTGTGTGCTCAATCAGCCATCCCAAACCTAAATAGCCTCTTGGTGCCTTGGCAATCAGTCCTTACCTACACAGCTCCCACTCTGGCCTATGTAGCCCTCCTCACAGGCCAGACAAGCGTAGGAGCCAGGGGAGTTGACGCATCTCCCATCAGGGCAGGTACCAGGGTGACGGCATTCATTGATATCTACAAAACAACAGTCCCTCCCTTGGTCATCTCTGAGAACCACAACCCATGGGTATTTCATGTCTGCAAATCTTTGACCCTGCCCTGTATGGGGGGACTAGGTGTCAGTTTCCGTATAGATGAACACTAGGAAAACATGAGCTGCCTGCCCTGTGTTCCCAGCCCCACCTCCCACTCATGATCCTAGAACAGAGGTAAACGAAAGAACTTAAAAAATGGAAAGACTCCCCAGGTCACTGCAGTAGGCTGTGGGTACTGTTAGCTGTAGGAAGTCAGAGAGCTATGTGTTTCAGCCTGGATGGTTTGGGATGGTCCCTCAGATCACTCTTGGTGACATCAGGCAAGGCAGGAAGATTGCATTTGCCAAAAGGAAAGGCCCCTGAGTCTGCCCTACCTGCAGTGCGTCAGGTACATCCGTGGAAGGTGTACGCAGCACTGGATGCTGGGCATTTAGGAGATATGGAACTTACTAATCTTCAAAAAATAGCCTATATCTTCATTTTTGGGTCATGGTATGTTTTTGCTTCCGGGTTCCTTGTCGGGTGGCACCAAAAGATTAGTGCTAGCCAATGAGGTGTGAGTGGGTATGAGGTAGGTAACTAGTGAACCAAAGCATTTCACCGCATGCAACCCTTGAGTGTCTTCCTTCCTTCCTTCCTTCCTCCCTCCCTCCCTTCCTTCCTTCCCTCCTTCTTTCTTTCTTTTCTTCCTTCCTTCCTTCCCTCCTTCTTTCTTTCTTTTCTTCCTTCCTTCCTTTCTCTTCCCTCCTTCCTTCCTTCTTTCTTTCTTTCCTTCCTTCCCTCCTTCCTTCCTTCTTTCTTTCTTTCCTTCCTTCCTTTCTTTTCCTTCCTTCCCTCCTTCCTTCCTTCTTTCTTTCTTTATTTCCTTCCTTCCTTTCTTTTCCTTCCTTCCTTCCCTCCCTCCTTCCTTCCTTTCTTTCTTTCCTTCCTTCCTTTCTTTTCCTTCCTTCCCTCCCTCCTTCCTTCCTTCCTTCCTTCCTTCCTTCCTTCCTTCTTTCTTTCTTTATTTCCTTCCTTCCTTTCTTTTCCTTCCTTCCTTCCCTCCCTCCTTCCTCCCTCCTTCCTTTCTTTCCTTCCTTCCTTTCTTTTCCTTCCTTCCTTCCTTCCTTCCTTCCTTCCTTTCTTTTCCTTCCTTCCTTTCTTTTCCTTCTTTCCTTCCTTCCCTCCCTCCTTCCTTCCTTCTTTCTTTCCTTCCTTCCTTTCTTTTCCTTCCTTCCTTCCTTCCTTCCTTCCTTTTCCTTCCTTCCTTCCTTCCTTCCTTTCTTTTCCTTCCTTCCTTCCTTCCTTCCTTTCTTCCTTCTTTTCTTCTTTCTTCCTTTCATGGAGACTGGGCATATTCTAGACCCCAGCTATTCTTTCAGTCTAGTACCAAAGTAAGGAAGCCTGGGTCCGAGTTCTTAACTGATTCTTGATAGACACAAGATGCTGATAAGATTGTGTCCTCTGTGACTGACTTTGGGGTTGGTTGTTAGTGAGGCAGAACCTAATGTAAGCTGCTCTGCTACTCCCAGCTTTCTTCTTAGAGCAGAGCCCCAGGGAACGACAGTGATGTGAAGATGTGAGGAGTCTGTCAGGGAGAAAAAAAGAGAGACCAGAAGACCAGAGCAGCTCTAGTCTCCACCTGAGCCAGGGAAGCCTCTCGTGAATGGGAGTGGACAGAACTGAGCCACTAGACAAGCTGATCAAAAGAGGCAGAGGAACATTCTGGATGGAGCGGACGCCATCAGCAGACAACCTGAGACGATTCCATGGAACTCAACAGTAGCTAAAGTGGAGCCTGTCACCGGGTGGAGATTCTTCTGCCTAGTCAAGAGTTTGAATCTAAGGTTATGGAATGCCTTGGTAGATTCCAATATTCTGGTTTGTTTTGGGAACTATTTATTGCTGTATTCCCAGCCCGTGGCTAACACACAGCTGGCATTCAGCAAATGTTTGCTGACCAAAAGACAAAACAGTGTGCCTAAAATAATACGCATTATCCTCTTAGTAAAAGGCTGCTAAGGAGACAGCTAAAGGGATCCAAGGAATGGTCACACAGGGACTAATTTGTGAGTCTGCCATCCATACGCTGGGAGGATGCCTGGGCATCTTTCCAGGGACCAGTCTCTGCGTGGGGAACAGTGAGGGTACCCACCTGTGTTCCTGGTGAGAGCATGAAGTGGGAGTGGTGGGCAGAAGGCAAAAGTTCAGGGGTCCCTGGGTGAGAAACGGGGACAGCCAAGACCCTGGCATTGTCAAGGAGAATCTGCTCTCCGTCCATGGGAACCCAGAGTCCTGGGTATGAGGGAAATGTCACTGAGATTGCTGCATGGGCCACTGTCCAGACCTCACAGTCTCTCATCAGAGACTTCAGGTTTCCGTGGACAGAGTTGGAGACAGAAGAAAGGGAGAGGAAATTGACTGGGCTCCCGGGGTGATGGGCAGGGTCTGTGGTTACTGATGGAAACCCGGAGAAGTGTACAAACTACATCATTCTTTCAACAGCCCCAGAGTGTCTGCCCAGAGGCAAGAACTCAGCCTGACCTCCCTGATGAGGTGTCTGTCTAGAATCCTTCCTCCTGATGGGACAGAGCCATCCCGAGTAGGGCACGGAGTCGGGACATGATAGAGAGAGGGCCTTACAGTGTGCTGGAGGTGGTTCCGCGCATCTTGTGTATGTTAGCTGAGCAGTCCTCTGAGATGAGTGTGGCAATTCCCATTTGCAAACATGAAACATGAATACAACCCAGACCTGTCTGCTCTGGAGCCTGTGCCCTGGTTGCAGAAGGTTAGTATGAACCTGATCTTTTCAATGCTCTGGCATTTCTTGGTTCATTTCCTTCGGTTTTACTTTTCTGTTTAGTAAGTCCTGATGTTAGATGCACAGTGCTGTGACGCCTGATGAGGCTCTCTTACCAAGCGCTTAGCGCCCGGCCAGCTGGCGCATAGAAAGGGCCTATCAAGCTCTGTGTTCACTCTGCATTCTCTTGTAAATGCCAAGTTATCTTGTTTCTCTTGATCTAATGAGGACAAGGGGCGGCTTCCAGCTTGGATCGTGCCCAGGCCTGAGTTATAGGTGGAAAGGCACAAAGAGGGGAGCCCTGAGCAAAGGCGAGGCACTGGGGTGAAGACAGTTTGTTCTACATCTCCAGCTGTGGTTCCCCTTCGCTTAGTTACCCCGGGACTTTGCTTCCCTGGTAAGCAGGCCGGGGAAAGGTCTCCCCTTCACAAGGTCCACGAGCTCACCCCTTACTTCCAGGACTCTCTGGAACCAGGTAAGACAGGATAGTGTCTTACCTGGTTAGTGATGGTGGCAGGTCCTAACCTGTCTACGAGGAGACTAGTTAGCAAAGTCTGAGCCCATCTTTTAGCTGTATGTGGGGAAGCGGAGATCTATTGAATCCATTCATCAACCAGTGTTTGTTGGGCGCCCATGCACAGGTTGTCTAGAGACATGGTCCACCCTCTGGGAGTTTATATATTAGCAAGCTTTAGTAAGGAGACTAAAGGGGCCAGAGAGATCAACTCTTCCTCTGCTATATGCAAAGACAACACATTTTCCAAGGTGATGGGGCAGAGGTATGTAAAGATGTTCATTCCTGTCGTGTCACGTAGATTTGTACTTCCCTGCAACAGGGGCCATACAGGATGCTGATGTATCACCCCAAAGACAGGGGCGCTCAGGGATTCATAGACGTGTCTCTGCCAGTGGGAACTGGCTTAGGGTCAAGGGACTCTGTGGAGGAGAGCTAGAGGGCGAGCTGAGGGTGGGTCGTGTGGAGGGCAGCGCGGACCCATTATTCCCACGCCTTACCTTGGCAGTATCCTTGTCTGACCATGATGTAGCCCCGATCACATTCACAGTGGTATGAACCCTCCGTGTTGCTGCATCGCCCACCACTGCACACCCCGGGCTGCTCACACTCATCTATATCTGCAAACACACAGGATGGTCCCCCATCAAAGCCAGCCCTGGACGGGAGGTCCTGCGGCATCCTTTCCAGAGGCCACGGACAAGGCTGCTAGGTAAGGAAGCCATGTTCGCTGCAGTAGGATTGATGGAGGGATTCTTAGGACAGCTGTCAGAGACTGGTCAGACCCCCCCACGGCCCCTTGAGTTCTTTTCTCCCAGGATAGCTACTTCTAGGGCCCATGGGAGCCCTTGCAACTTTCTCCTCCAGATGTAAGGCCTGGGTTTGGGGTCAGGTGTCAGTCCATACAGTATGATCCGAGGGGTTCTCCCTGCCCCAGCTAGAACAGTGGACACTGGGTCCACCACTAGGGTCCTTCTAGGACAGAGAGCTGGGGTTGGGGATTTAGCTCAGTGGTAGAGCGCTTGCCTAGCAAGCGCAAGGCCCTGGGTTCGGTCCTCAGCTCTGGAAAAAAAAAAAAGTCAAAATAACAGAGAGCATTGCAGGCAGCCAAGGGTCTGTAACGCATGGCTTATATCATTATCCAAAGCACACTGACCCCCTCCTCTGAGGAAAGGGAAGGAGCTCGTATGCAGAGCAGACAGCGGAAAGCTGATGGCTCCCTCTCTAAAGCCCGATCTTGGTCAGGCCACTCCCGAGTTACACCTTGGCTCCTTGCTACCTCCAGCCCCATTGCAGTTAGGACCCGGCCCCAGCCCAGCCCTGCGGTGTTTACCCAGGCTCTCTGGTATAATCTTAGCTATGGTAGATTGCCGTGAGTCCCGCCTCCAAATCTCTGTTCACATGCACGCCTCTGCTGGGAGTGTCTTTCCCCTCCTGATGACCAGCCGGTTCCTATTCCCATTTCACACAGTGGCTCAGTTTACCAGCTCTGTCCTGTGACCACTCCCTGGCTCCACCACCAAACCCACCATGGCCTCATCTTTTCCCCCCTCTAGCTCCGGTTCAGATACTTCACAGAGTCCTTGTCAGACTGAATGAAAGGCAAAGAGCTGAGAGAAGTGCCTGGCAGGAAACACGGAGGAATGTTTGTTAGCGCCGCTCAGGCATAAACCGACCGACAGAACCCAGGGAGCTTCCACCTCAGCCATGCTTCCTATCGCTCCAGCTCACAGTGGAGTCTCTGGCAGACCCGCCACATGCACCCTCCTCTGCTCCCGTGGAGATGCTGGCCTTCGGTACAGGGCGGACCCAGGAACCTTCCTGGCAACGACTCTCCGGGGAATTCAGAAACAGCTGTCTGAACTCCTGAAAGCTCTGCTGCTAACAGCAGAAGGAACTGGAAGGCAGAGCGAAAAGTGGAAACCTGATGGGAAAAAATGGGGGACGCCAGAACCACCGCTTAATAAACAGACAGTGCTGGTTTGCAGAGGAAAATGGAAATGGAGAAGTGGGTTCCTGGTAGCCATGCAAAGACGTACCCCAGTGGGAAAAAGCATCCTGGAAGAGGTAAGTAAAGAGCCCAATGTCTATATGACATAACAAAACCACAACGCATTAAAAATAATGCAAAAAGGGGGGGGGGCAGCAATGGTTCCGTGGGCAAGAGTCAGCCACCAAGCCTGGCAACCTGAGTTCGATCCCCGGAACCCGCGTAAAGACGGAGAGAACCAGTTCCACATGAATGCTGTCTTCTGACCTCCACACGAACACCCTTACATAAAACAAATAAGATGTAACAGAAAACACAAGGTACACCCAAAAAGTCACAAGAAAAAAAAAAAACCCACAACCACACTTGGGAAACAAGCAAAGGACAGGAGTAAGCAGTTCACAGAGGAGGAGCCCCAAAGGCCAGAGTGCAAAGATACACACTTATACCAAGGCAAGTTATATCCAAACTCAAATAAATCCTTAATATTTAAATGACTTACATTTATTTCTACTTAAATTAAGTTAAAACTTGTCATGGTTTACAATGATCAATTTATACATACAAATCAATGCTAGATTAAAATAATGAAACACTGCTTTGGGAGACGGGCAAAGTTTCGGAAGTGGACGCTAAGTTGGATTAGGGCCTTCAAGTGGCAGCCAAGTCCCAGCAGTCGAAGGACTTAGGCCGACCTCAGGTCCCTCCCGCTCCTACAGCTGGCAGAGACATCCGGACACCAGGCTGGCACAGGACAGAGCCTCACGTCTGGGCCAGACCTGGCAATGTCCTTCCCTGTAGCCACAATTTGCCTATGGCCAGCTCCCAGACTCCCAGACTCCCTCTGGCCTCAGCACCCACCCAGGCTGCAGGAAGCCTGGAAAGCCCGTGTCCCTGGCCTTTCCCCTGGCTCTGCCACCCTGCTCTGAGTACTGTAGCACACGTCCCCTCCTTCCCAACAGCCAGATGTCAGAACCATCTACCCTTAACAAAGCCTCCTGGCAGCCACTGCCCACAGGACAATGGCCATGTACTTCAGCCTGGCACTGGAGTTACTTCACAGACTGGCTTCGCCTGCCTCCACTTCTGCTAACACCCTCTAGTCACCCCGACTTCACCGTAATTCCCAGGACATGCCACGCCTGCCCACCTGCTGGCCTATGCAGAAATGGTTGCCTTTCCCTGGACTACCAGCTCCATCTACTCCTGCTGCTCCTCCTCAGGTGCCTGGTACCCTGCCTGTAAAGGTGTGGACCCTGGGAGGCAAACCAGGCTTTGGAGATGGCGTGGCTTTGAATCTGTGTCCAATGCTGCTACACCTAGGTGTCGCGTCCGTGGGTGTTTCAGCTCACCTTTCGAAGCTTCATTTGCTAAGGCATAAAGTGGGAGTAAGGACTGCAAGGGCTGGAATGATGGGCTTTATATAATAAAGTGCTTAGGGTGGCTCTGGATATAGTGAGTGCTCATTCAATGGGAGCTGTTATTACTCTACCCCAGTTCAAGTGCCCCCTCACGGAAACCTTCCCTAGTTCTCTGCTATTGTCAGCTGCTTGCTCATCTAACTCGATAGTGCTATTATTCTTGCTCGTGCATCGACTGTCTTCGGACCTTTAGCACAGGGCCTGTACCTGGCCACTCAGTCCGGGCTGGAGTACTCACTGACCCGGTTCCCTCACGCTCCTGTTTTAAGCTGGCTTCTCTGTCTCCTTTCCTCACATAATGAAGTGAGGACTTGGATGCCTCTGGATTCTCAAGGCCAGATCCTTGGAATTGGACATTGAGGAGATTCTGCCAATGGAAGGACTCATGACTCCATGGCCATGCCCAGGGGTGGGGGCTGTGATCATGGCCAAGCCTCTGACTGGTGCTGGAAACGTGAGCCCCAAGGACAGGCAGTGCCATTCTCCAGGTGAAAGTTTCCCAACTACTTCTGGATCCCCAGGCACTGTGTGGAAAATGCGTCCTTATTTCTTCGTGAACTTATTCATAAAACCGTACAGGCGCGTTCTATTTATAAAAGGGTTTGCACCGTGTGCTGGCTGGTTTTATGTCAACTTGACATCAGCTAGAGTCATCAGAGAGGAGGGAGCTGGAGCTGAGAAAACACCTCCATAGGCTCGGACCGTAGGCAAGCCTGTAAGGCATTTTTTTAAGTTAGTGATTGATATAGAAGGGCACAGCCCATTGTGAGTGGGGCCACCCTGGGCTGGTGGTTCTGGGCTCTATAAGAAAGGTAGCTGAGAGCCGGGCGG